CTACTACTACTTGTTGTTGTTGTTGTGGTGGTGGTGGTGGTAGTAGTAGTAGTAGTAGTAGTAGTAGTACTAGCAGTAGTCGTGGTGTTGGTGGTGGTGGTGCTGGTGGAACTAGGACAAGCACAGTAGCATCAGTACTAGTACTAGTAATACTAATACCCATACTACACTACAGCATGAGTACTATCAATACTAGTACCAAAACTGCTACTAGTACTAGTGCTGGTACCAGTCGTAGTAGCTACTATCACCGGTAACCCTCTAATCAAAGCTAAAGCTAGCCATGTACCTTCCGTTCGAAGCACCAGAATCGGGAAAAACAACGACGTGCGATTCAAACCCTATCTTCAAGGATACATGTGGGGTCAATGTTATGGGGGAAGAGATCATACAGAAACCCGCAGCACCCGACCGAATGCATAGATGCCCCAAGCGGCGCCGCCAGCTCTTCTGAAGTGGATGCTTTTGGAATGACCATCCTCAGACAGGCACGAAAATCTCCAGCATGGTGCAGTTCTTCTCAGGTCTCTGATAGCCAGCTGAAACCAGGCTAGGCTCGGCTCGCCTGCAAACTGTGAAGGGCCGAACGTGGCCCGGTCCACCGAATTTCCATACATGTCCAGTCGCTCCACGCAATTCAAGAATGCCTCAGCCCGCTTGAAGTGCTACATGCGGAAGCGTCGCAGCTACCAAAGGCCAGCGGCGGCATCAGACGGATATGCCGCATTGGTCCAAACGTATTCATTGCGGCCTTTGCAGGTTGAAAGACGTTCGATGTTGGTTCCGCAAGAAGCTTATGCAACTGTCAAATGCGGGCCAGCTTCGGCCCACAAAGGCTGGATGTATGCTTGGGAGCTCAAAGCTTGAGGCAGCTTCAGGTCCCAGTGCACCTCGAGCAGAGCTCCTAAGCCTTAAGCGCGTTACGCTCATCCCCCCCTTCGGATCCAGGGCAGCGGCTGCTCCGAATGCTTCCGGACACGAGGTCTAGGCGGAGCTGTCGCAGAGAACAGCGGGTGGCATCTGACCATCTGCTCCGGTACATGTCCTCTGCAAAGGGTTGCTGCAAGCTGTGACGGCATTCTCAACTTGTACTTGCTACTAGTACAGTAACAGCACTATGCAGCAAGACGGCGTGCAAAATACCCTTGTCGTTGCACATTCACGGTGTCCAAGGGTCTGCAAAGTTCCTTTCGACATCTTCTCGAGGTCCATTGTGTGCAGCAATCTGCAGGCATATAGCAGCGTCGTTGTCACCATCATATGCATTGACCTGCAACGGGGCGTGCAGGATGGATCCGGGTATCATCTGGCCTCGCTTCAAACATCATCGTGTGCAACCCAAAAAAGCGCAGCGCTTCCGGCCGTGTGGTAAAGGGAGACTGCCGGTTGCAGTGTGCTGTCGAAGACCTGAGCATGGACCGGAGTATGCCCAGAACATCTCATCTGAGTAGAATACTGCTCCCCCTCAACCTTGCTCCTCCGTTTGTCACAAATCTATCGAATCCAACGCGGTTGCATGCGTGGGCAGCTACTTGCAGAATCCATCCCGTGTTGCTCCAGCTTCACTGACCCGTTAGTCGCACGCCAAGGCGCAACAGATAGATCACTGCGTTTCAGCACGACCAGCCTGGTTCCTACGTCCTCCTTCCACTCGAAGAACTGTGCCATCGCTCCCTTCCAAAGACTCTTAGCAAGGCCAGTGGTTGAACAACTCCAGGGTGGGATGATGAGAATCACATGCTTCCGTGTTATGGCAAAGTCATGGACGAATGCGAGATCTGTCAAAGCGAGGACCGTCCGCTTCATCAAGGATCGATTGGCAGAGCACTTGTAGACTTCCAGGGTCGGCTCAAGCCCAATCTTCAGTCCTATGTTAAAGAGCTCTCCAGAGTCCGGGTCGCGTTTCGGATGAGCGGAAAAGAACTGGACTCCGCTCTGTGAAAGGGGTGGATCACGGAATAGCTCCTCGCCCAGTGTCTCCAGATTTCCTGGATCCAAAGCATACGGAACGCCACCCTCACACAGCGCCAGCAATCGATCGTCCCACCACAGGACATTTGTGTTTGCCGGGTTGGTGGGCAATCTGAAGACGTTTGACAGAAATTCGCCGTTCGAGGCAGGCGTCCATGCACCCATCGATGCCATTCCAGAGCCCCTTTCGGTTCTGACAAGCTCCCCAGACTTCTGCTGCACTTCATATCTCTGGGTCTTGACGAAGCGCGACGTGAAAGCGGCTTCTTGGTTCCTCCCATCCACACTGAGGGAAGTTATGAAGCCATCACCATCAAACCAATGATCATATTTGGATTCTCCAATTCGTATGCGCCCTGGCCCATTCCTGTAGACTGTCCCGACAAGGTCTTCAGGCAGCTTGCCCAGGAAGCTAAGTCTTGTTGGCTTGGACTCCTCCGCAGGCTCCAGACCCCTGCGCCAGGGGCTCTCTACAAAGAGCGCTTCGAGTTCTTTCTCAAGCGAGCGCCGATAAACGATTTCAGTTCTACGTCGCCGTCGGCAACGAGCGTGCCACGTGATACCGCCAATTCCTGATGCCAAGGCCGCATGCTGCCACAGGGGAAGCCGGGCTCGCCTCTGTAGGAGGTCTGTCCTATCTATTCTTGCTGCACTATTCCAGACCTGTTGCTTCCGGAAAGCACAGGGTCGCACTGGCTGTACTCGCTGAGGCCATGCCCACTCAGCTCCAAGAATCATGGCCATTTCAAGAATGGTGTTGCCACACAGTAGAGAGACATGACTTGTTGATCCTGTGACTGCTGCAGTCTCGTGAAATGTTCGAAGAGGAAAAAGCTGACAATCGCAAGAATGCCTGCAAAGGCGCCTATAGCATGCGCAGCTCTTACGAACTAGCCTGTGGGATGTACATGGTGCAAGAGACTGTTCAGAAGGCTTACATGGGGTTGGAGCTAAAACATGTCCAATGTGTCATGAATCAGGCTGCATAGATAGGACACGACAGAACCCGCAAGGTAATGCAAGGCTCAAATCCTTGACCGTGCAGGCCTTCGCGGTGCTGGCCTTTACACTGGCCGTCTGAACAAACTCACACCTGGTGTGGGTGCCCGCTTGCTCTCGCATGCTCCATGCCAGTATACACATTGCCGCAAGAGACAAGGGCGCGCACGCGCTGACCGTCGGCAAGCTTGATCCGGGCAATCTCTCGTAGACCACGCGCTCGTTGCACCAGGAGCGGAGCACCTGCGAAGTGAGCAAAAGAGGGCCCTGGCCTCGTCATCCCCCGAGGCGAGGCGCGGACCGGAAGTCGAGCTCTCTGAGGGCGACCTTAAGTGCAACAGAGGATCCTTTGGAGGCACATGCTGCGGATGCACATCGCAGATGCTCTTCGGTTTCCAGCGTGACGAAGACGCCTCTCGGAACTCGTCTATTGCGACAACCGCAGTCCGGGCATGGGCTTGCACCTGCAGTGAACCGAATGCATTTGCTACAAGTGTTCACAACAGTTCAAAAGTTGATAAGGTCATGGCAGAAACCGGCTCGGACTTTGCACGCTTCTCTCCTGCCGGGAAGCCAGCACGACAGCGGCAAAGCATTGGCCAGCTAGGACTGAGATGAGCACTGGAAAGTTCGGCAATCTGCTGCGCATCAGCAGCCTGTGCGACAGCACCGTGCGCAGACAGAGGTGGGTAGTTGTCAAAAAAGTGTTGATAAGGTCATCACAGAAACCAGCTCGGCCTTTACCCTCTTCGCTCCTGCCACGCAGCTAGCAAGGTCGCGGACAGGGGAGCAGTCGCCACTTAAGACTGAGACGGCGACGTGTGCGCTGAGCAACCTGCCGTGCATCAACAGCCTGCACAACATTCCCTAGAGCAATTGAAGGCGAACAAAAGGACGGCATGCATGTGGACGTCTACAGACGTCCATCGAATGGAGTGTTGCGCAATGGCAGGAGCATCTTTTGTTCAATGGTGCCTTGCACTCTCTTCGCAGAGGATTGACAGCTACTCTGCTCCAACGTTGCGGCATGCATCTCCGAATCTCCGCTCCACATGATCTCAACACGGAAACCCAAACTCACCGAAGGGGACTTCGTGCATCTTCTGCCTCCGTCTTGCAACGCACCGCTGTTGTATTGGAACCTTCACAGACATGTCCGAATGCTTTCTGCATGTCCCGGTCCCAATCCCACCCCAGGCCTCGCTTTCGCTTCCCGGGCCTTAAGACGAAGGGTGATTGCTTCTTCAGGGTTTCGGTGTTGTGGGTTTCACAGCTGCTCCAGAGTCTGGCAGGCGCTTGCAATCTGCCGTTTTTGCAGCTGTCAAACTTTCCAGTCGCTCAGCTTGAGTTGCTGCACTCGCCGAGCATTCCCAGCAGCCAGCAGACACCATCCAATCCCGTAGATGAAACTAATTCCTGCGTGGCAGCTAGCACACAAGCAAAGTCAAAGGATTTCAGCTGCATCTGCTCTGTCGCTTCTGGCCTGACATGACGTAGAAGCCTCAGCTTGACATGTTGTCGATCTTTTTGCGTCGGCGCTGGCCGCTTGGGCGGGTGGCAGCCGGTGAGATCACAACATTGCTATGCTCAAACTGCAACCGAGAAACCGTCAGCTTTGACCACACATCGGTCCGACATACATGTGGTAAAATCGATCAGCTTCAGCGTGACGGTGCCTGGCCACATGCCTGAGGCAACAGGCAGGCCTGCCAAGAAAGAAACTCCTGCAATGGGCCTGGCCTCCCAGATTGCTCATTGTATTGAGCATTGTCATGTAGGTTCCGCCCATCGCAGGATCACTGATCCGAGCAAAGAATGCCATGGTCGACACAAACATGCATTGACTTGCAACCTCAGATGTCAGGTGGATGTGTCATCTAGACTCAGGCCTACCAAGCTGGCAAGGTGCTTTTGGGCCATGTGGCCTGTGCAAACAGGGAGGCTGCAACGACCACAGCATAGAACGCCCATGGAATTCGATCTGCGATGGGCGGCGTTGCAGACACCACGATGGCAGTCACAGGAACCTGGATTCTGCAGCGGCCACGGTCGGGTTTCATGCTCAAGCCGTCGAGTCAAAGCCGCGGCTTTGGGGAGTGTGCGATGTGCAAGCGAAGTCGCACTCCAACTGGGATCAGAAAGACAAAGCAAGACAACCCTTACTGCCAGGACTTACCACGAGTACTCGCGTCGTGTCCCATCAGTGTCTCCGCAGTCCGATTCCTGGACCTCTGTTTTGGACTTTTCTCGTGACAAGACGAAAGCTGGGCCAGGCCGTAGGATTCAGGTGGCGTGACCCTCGCATTTCTGAGACAGCAACAAACCTGGAAGTCTTGGAGTATGCCGAAGTCGCAAACTGCTCTTCAACATTCGATTCAGGATCGTTCAATCAGCCCGTGCCCGCTAAGCGGAATGGCTGAATCGCATGTACCGGCATTCCATTCAGCTCACAAGTTGCGATTTCTGAAACATCCCAGACATACACAATCCTGTCATATCCTGTCCTCCTTCTTGAGACATCTCGGACTTGGGGGCTTGGGTGTGAACGGCTGAAGCGCGCGCAAAACCGGACCTGTGCAAAACGGTGTGTTGTGGTAGCTGCCGAAGTCGGGGCGTCTGTAGCTTTCAGAAAGAGTTGTCGAAGAACCGCTTCTCACAAAGACCGGAAACCACACAGTTGCAAGACATAGGCTAGACGCAGGTGCTCGGGTCCAAGATGCTAACGGGCCATCACGTGAGGTGTGCAAAGTTGACATCTGAGTCTCGGGCTAGAAGAATTCTCCACGGGTATGCCTGTAGGCTAAGATCCCACGGCATGGAGTTCGTCGTCCAACGCGAGACGACTGCTGGGAGCAGGATATACACCTTGTAAGCGGGGACCGTGTCTCATGGAGCTGCCGGCAGTGTTCATGTCAACAGACCGCCCCCTTGCTTAGGCAAGGCACTGGCATCATACCCGATGCGATGTAAGCCATGTGCTCTTTCTTGACTCCATACTCTTGCAGCTTTAGCGGTGCAATGCTGTCGCCCACAGCAAAAGGAAACTTCATTGTAAGCAAAAGCAGCAGCAGTACACGAACGGGTCGCAGGCGGAGTATCTTGAACATGTTTGCATAGGATGTCGCGATGCTCTCCTAAGCTGAGAGTTCGATAAGACCAGGTGTGATGCTTTCTGAAGGTCTCATGCACTCCAAGTTTCCGGCTCCTCCTCTGACAGCATGGAACCTTCAGACTTCAGGATGGTAACCAGTATCGTCACCACCTCGGTTTTTTCGAGACTCCGCTTCGACTTTTGGGCCAACTTAGTTCTGTCCAAGCCGCTATGAAAACCATTCCCCATAGAAACATGAATTCGGACAGGGTTATCAGATTGAAGTGCTCCAGGGCCATGAAGCCAGTGAAGCCCATGGCCTCACGCACGCAGCTTGCCCCAAAAACCACTCTCAGCTTTCGAGGGTTACGACAAGTACCTTCTCTCGCCCAGGTCCAGGGGGCGTAACCAAGGGTTTGTCCCATGGCATTGGTCGTGGCAGCGTAGCCCACGTTCTCCTTTCGCAGCATCGTCAGAGCCCATCCATCCACGGCGATGTCCTCTGCAGCCGAGGACACTGCAACTGCACTCTCATGCAGAAAAAAATATCACGAGCATCTTGGCAGCTGCCTGAGTGGCGCAAAGGAAATACAGCAGGAAGAAAAGGACCGTGAGCGATTCAACATTCGGCCGTTCAGCCTGTATCAAGTTTCGTCACAGTTGCATGCTTCGACCGACAGTATTCGCTTGAACTCAAATCTCTGGACGAGGCCAGCAGCATAGAGCAGATGATCCAGACGCTGCGAAACCACGATCATGACCTCGCTTCCGATGCCAGCGAAGCCTGTTTTCCGATTTCCGGACACTAGGTGCCTCACGAATCCTATTGCCAGCTGCGTCGGCAGAAGCCACGTCTTCCTGAACCAGCACAGCTCGATGCCATCGCCAAGCGCTTGAAACATGCATGGAGTGAATTGCAGGGAGAATGAGTGGAAACGCTCAAGGAAACATGTCGCGAGGGTCAAAAGCCAAAAGTGGCCAACCGCGCACTCTCGCAAGAGCTAAACACTTGAGCAGAGATGGGGCGGGAGCGGAGAGCGCCACGAGCAAGTCACGGAACGCAATTGGTCCTCTTGCTACTTACCGAAACCACGCAGCAAATCGAAAGGAATGTCTCACATCAACAAGTGTATTGAGAAATTGGGGTTGCTTTCGAATCGGATTTTTTAACAAATAGTTGCTAAAGCGGAGTTTCTGGTCCGCGGAATGACGCAAACGACGAGAGTTACTGCGGAGCCCTGTCGTGGTAATGTTTTGACCTTTTGCAAAGGGGAGGGAGCGCAAAGGGAGCATGAGCGTGCAAGCACAAGCCACTGCGAGGGAGCTATAGAGGTGAGGGAGCGAAGGAGGGCTGGGTCGATGGTGGCCCGGCCGGCGGGATGACATCGAGAACGAGAGCGCAGTTGTCGCCTTCTCCCGAGTCTGGAGGAGTAGACCGCATCCACCACCGGGGCCCACAGCAGCTTTAGGCCTGGACCCAGAGAGTACTGCAGAGAGATGAGGCGCATATGTTCATGTTAAGCTCCACACTGAAGGGATAGGAATTCAGAGAGAAGGTCCCCAATTCGGCAAACGACACGTTTTGCTCCTGAGGCAGCGTGACTGTCTAGGCAAGCACTACGGCGATTCTCATGACTCATCTCAACCATTCCGGAGTACTTTGACACGCAGACTCGTTGTCTGTCAGACCAATGTGAAGCTACCAGCATTGTGTTCAAGCGCCTGAAGTCAGAGCACTCCACCAGCCTAGACCGCATCTTCAAAAGGCAACTGCTGCAGAGTTCGGTTGTCTATGTCCTTGAGGATCAACGGCACGACGCCGGATAGGCCCATCGGAATTCCCTTCACATGGTCGGAGGGCAGGACCATGCAATCACTGGCGCTCTACATCCTCAGCAGTCCTACCTGGAGGGTATAGAGCACAAGCAGCAGAAATATGTTGAGGTACTCACCGTTCAAGTTGCTGACCTTCACTCATAGAAACTAGGCAGAACTACAGCTTGGGCCAGGTCGTGAACACCTAAAACAGTTGATGGTTGTGAAACCCGACCCCTGCAACGAGATGATGGGTGAGGAGGGAGTGGAGCCGAAGAGCCCAAATGAACTTAGAAAATGGCGGCGATGAAGTGGGAAACTCCAAACCCTGAGAGGAAGTAAGTGGTGACGAGCCCACGACTGCGTCTCAAAACGAGCACAGCACTTTCCGACGAATGAAACCATGGACTCTACAGTATGTAGGTTTGGCATCTTCTCAGCCTACATCCAGTCTTCAGCTGCCACCGAGCACGCCGATCGGCCCCTCCCTCCGTCCGAAAAGCTCGCAGGCGCCAGGTGAAAGTCCCATCGCCTGGTCGTTGGTCTTCGCATCGTGGCCTGCCTCGTGATCCTGGCAATGGCAACCACGAGAAAATTTCGACAAGTTCAGGTCCGGATTGCAAGAAGCACATGCTTGCCGTCAACCACAGCATACGCAGCGAGCTTTTCCACGATACTCCCTTCCTCATCCACGAGCCTCTGCCAGCGATTCCAACTCCCGCGTGTCGTCAATGCCCCGGAAGCTCATGCGCAGCCTTTTCACAAAGGGAGCCGACAGGCTGGCGATACGCTCTAGGTCTATGAGTCTATGACTTTGTACATGACGTTAAGCTTACGTCACCGGAGAACAAAAGGAGTAGGCCAAAGCACCTGCGTACGCCTTCGGCAGCTCCCATGAAGTACGAATTGCCGAAGTCTATCAAAACAAACGTGGCGCCATGGGGCTCGGCAGAGGCCGTACCGTGGCCACACTGTTGCTGTTGTGGTCGTTGGCAGTAATGGTACTGATGAAGGCGGTAGTGGTGATAGAGGTGCTGGTGGTGTGGTGGTCCGGATGGTAATAGTGGCAGGAGTAGAACAGTAGAAGCAGTAGTTGTTGTAGGAGTAGTAGTAGTAGTAGTAGTAGTAGTAGTATTAGTATTAGTATTAGTAGTAGTAGTAGTAGTAGTAGTCGTAGTAGTCGTAGTAGTCGTAGGAGGAGTAGTAGTAGTAGTAGTAGGCCCCCCCCTACCAACCACCTCTGCTACAAACCCTCTTAACAGCACATCCGTTTTACTCGGTATTTACGGTATGTTCGTCCTGTCATACCACCTCTTCTTGCCTCAAAATCCATTCCTGGATTTTGGAAAAATTGGGCTTCGGATTGCGGGGGGGGTGGGGGGGGGGTGGGGGGTGGGGGGCTGATGACGACATTGTTACACACCCACACACACACACACCGAACAAAATCTCCACAAGAGCCGGTTTACGCGGTATTTACAGTACTTTCGTGATGTCGGACCTTTTTATATATTCACCAAACCTACTTCTGCACTTTGCGAACTCGACTTTGGGATTTCGGAGGCTTTCGGCGAAAACTCGAAATTGGGTGGGGGGAAGCTGTCACGACACTGTTTCGTGGACACCCCGAACAGTATCTCCACACCTAGCGCGCAAACACCACACAGTACCTCAAAAGCAAGCCCTCTTACGCCGAAGTCTGGGCTTTAGGGGTGTTGGCGAGCTCCTCCCAGGTACAGCTGGCATCTTTGTTGCTGATTTTTATAAGATGTTGCGCTTCAGGTTTGAGGAGTGTTAAACCTTCTTGGCGGCACCCGCGTTTTGCAATGTGTTTACAGCGTTTTCGTACTATCCGACCGCCTGTGCTTTAGCAGCTTCTTTCCCGACGAGTTTGCAACTCCAACTGCTGTCGCAGTTTTGAAGAGCCTCTGCAACTTCACCGACTGTGACAGTCAAGGCAAGTGAGCCTTTGCAACTTCTGCAGCAGTCACAGATAGGGAGCCTGAGCCCCTGCAGCTTCTGCAGCTGCCGCAGATAGGGGCCAAGAAGCCGCCACTGGTTGGCAGGGGGGGGGCTAGTAGTAATAGCAGCAGTAGTTGCTGCTGCTGCTACTACTACTACTACTACTACTACTACTGCTTGCCGCTGGGGTGGCCGTGGTGGAAGCGGTAGTCGTCGTAATAGCAGCAGCAGCAGTGTTCTGATGAATCCCCAAAGCCCTCACGCTAAGCGTTAACCCTAAACCCTAACCCCTAGCCCCTAAACCCTAAACCCTAAACCCCTAAACTCTAAACCCCTGAACCCCTAAACCCCAAACCTTAAACCCTAAACCTTAGCCCAGTCTCACGCCGGGCGCGTGAAGCAACGACTCGATCCTGTCAAGTCGGGCGAAATTATCCGGTCTGGCGTGCCTTGGACTGGCTCGAGTTGGGGCTTCGGACTTACCCTAAGCCCCCAGGTACCGACTATATAGGGTACTAGAGGCCCTAGGGCCCTTTATAGTAGGTACCTGGGGGGAAGTTAGGGTTAGCGAGCTCAGGGTCTATAAGGCATGATTTAAGGATGTTGGATTGCTAATGTTGAGGGTGCAAAGTTGTAGTATAAGGACCTTAGAGTTGAAACCTGTATACGCGGCATGAAGAGATCCTGGAAGACCTCAACTTAGAAATGCCACAATAACGATTGGGTTTGGGTGAAAAAAGACGGTTTGGGTTTCGAGCTTGAGGGAAACTGTCTTGCGACAACATGGTGTTGAGTGCATGGTACTGGGGCGATCAGCCGATACAGCCTGATTGTGGCAGGCTTGTCCGGCTTTTCCTCATCTTTCCCCCACACCAACCCAAAACCCAAAACCTAAACCCTAAACCGTTCACAAGGTGGCAGCGCCACAAGGACTCCTTTCGTTCATGGTTCAGGCCCAAACTCCTCGAACGCCTTAAATATGGATAGTTTTCTAAATTTGGGTCCCTTCAGGGGTCCATTTTAGAACGACGCCGTACTACATTGGGGACCTAACAAGGAACCCTAATTTAGACAGCCACCCATATCTTATCGGTCTGCAAGGCTCCCGAACAGAACCCCAAGCAGCTTTTGGAACCCCAAGCACCATTAAAGCCTAAACCGTCCGAAGCCCAACCCTAAACCCAAAGCCCTAAGTTAGTCAAACCCTCAACCCGAGGTCTCAAATTACTACACCTCTAAACCCCAAGCCCGGATACAGGTGCCTGAATTTCTACATTTTCGCAGGGGTTCCAGAATCTTGCAACACTACCCCCAAAACGCTTTCGACTTCTTCAGGCGCCACGCAGTCTGTAGTCCACCCTAAACCCTAATCCCTGAACCCTAAACCATAATCCCTAAACCCTGAAAACTAAACCCTTATCCCTAAACCCTAAATAAACCCTAAACCGTAAACCCAAGCCCCTAAGCCCTGCACTTGGCCTCAGGCCCTAAGACAGCTGGGTCAGCAAGGGAAAAGCGAGAACCAAATTGTCAAGAATATCCGGGTTCCGGGTTTAGGGTTTAGGGTTTTAGTGTTTATGGTTTAAGGTTTAGGGCTTTAGAGTTTAGAGTTTATTCTTTTAGGGTTTATGGCCTTTAGGATTTGGGGGCAATAACAACCATGACGATCATGAGGCGAATATGTCTTTAGTAATATCGTGCCTTGATAGGTTAGTAGCTCTAATTCCAAGGCCACCCAAATATGCCAACATTAGATAATATTGGTGAGAACATGGTTTGGTAGCTTATGGACTTATACCACCAGCCATGTTACAACAATAGTAATAAATCACTTAAATCACTATAGATAGCGGCCGTGCTAGTTTAGTACAGCAACAACAACAGCACAAAAGCACCGCCTTCACCAACAAGACCAACAAGACCACCACCACCACCGCCACCACCACCCCCACCGCCGCCGCCGCCACATTCACCACCACCACCACCACCACCACCACCACCACCACCACCACCACCACCACCGACAACAATGTCAATAACAACAACATTAACAGCAGCAACAGAAACAACAACAACAACAACAACAACAACAACAACAGCAACAACAGCAACAACAGCAACAGCAACAACAACAACAACAGCTACAACAGCTACAACAGCTACAACAGCAAAAGTAACAGCAACAGCATCATCATCAACTACAACAATAAAAACACGAACAAGAACAAGAACAAGAACAAGAACAAGAACAAGAACAAGAACAAGAACAAGAACAAGAACAAGAACAAGAACAAGAATAAGAATAAGAATAAGAATAA